GCCTTAAAATGGCCATTCATTCCGCTATTGTTAAGCAGATCATGAAACAAATGCACATATCTATTTGTGACATGATGTACCATGTGTGTGTGAAGTTTGAACTTGATCAATCCAGACATGTCTTGGATACGGATCCAGAACTGAATTCTTTAACAAAATGGCCGCCAGTCGACCATTTCGAACTTGATCCGAAAAAAAAAAAGACGTGCATCAAGGTCCTATTATGTTTAATGTATGTACCAAATTTGAACAAAATCCGTCCATGCATAACTGAGATCCGGGACCGGAATGGTGAAAATGTGCGATTTTGATGCATTTTCGGCCTTAAAATGGCCGCTATTCGGCTATCGTTAATCGGATCATGAAAAAAATGCATGTGCGTATGTCCCATATAAGGTGTGATGTATGAGTGAAGTTTGAAATTAATCGGTCCATGCATGTTCGAGATACAGGTGATCACGGACGCACGGATGCACGGACGCACGGACGCACACAGGGCAAAACATAAGTCCCCGTTTTCGGACTGCGTCCGAACGGGGACTAATAATTGAACTTGTACCAATGAAAAAATGATTCATTTCATGACAACGCATTCATCTACATGAATATGCCTTGCAGCACATACATTTGTATAACTGATGGCAACTACAGTTTATAGTCTCTGTACACACCTGAAATTTGTTAATTTATGTTGTGGTCTATCTTCATATCCAGTCACATCTTCCTCATCACCGGTGAATAATGATAATCTTGGGTCAGTCAACATGATAAACTCATCAACCTATTTGTACACAATGACACAAACAAAGGAGACTTGTTTAGATCTGTGAAACTGCCATACACCGAGTGTCTATCTAGATATTACAGACGATTTATTTAATCAGCAACGATTTTTCAAAATCTACTTTCACATTTTACAATAGGTTAATATACCAAATAATCACTTACAGAGTCATCGGGATCACCAGGAAATGTTTTCAAGTCCGGATCATCCAAGAGTTGTCTGCATTCAGTACAGCGAACTGGAGGCTGAACAAATTATACAATACTAATAATAGTATTAGAAAAGGTGTAAAACTTACACGAGACATGAACTGAAAAATCAACTACAGGTAAACAACATCCAGCTATTTGAATAAGTATAAATATTGAATCTTATGAAAGAAATCTAATACAATAATTTAACCTTAATGCTTAAAGTGCTTAGAAAAAAAAATAACCGAGAAAAGAATTTAACTCTTCTTGTGAGAAGATGCAACCTTTGGGGAATACACATCTTTTGAGAAGTATAATTTGCCTTACCGATAATTAAAATAATTATACAGAAACAATGAGATCAAGAGCACATCGCCAATATTACATTGAAAGGCAGGCAGGCTTAATTACAAAATTTCTATGCAAATGGTATCATTGAGCAGACTATTATAAATTATCCAATTAAAGATGAAACTTACAGCAACTGCAGATATTTCATCATTTTCTGTTTTAGGGCGCAAATCCTTCCTGAAATACAAAAAACCTGAACTGATTCACAGAACAAAATGATATGCATCAGCAACTGTCTGTATGTCTATTTCTTGCTATCATTTTGATTCAACAACAATATGGAGAAATCTTACTTGAACTTCTTTTCATCTTCATCATCATCAAATGTTTCACTTCCATCCCCAATTTTCATCCTCTTCTCGTGTTGATGTTCCGATTTTACACCGGCACAATTAAATCCTCCCTCTGCTTCATCAGATTGCTCAGATGTTTTTCTTTTTGAAGGTCTGCATGTATAGAGAAGTAATGTTACAAACATAGCTCAATACATTGGAGGACACTTGTGGATGTATGTGATAGACACACCCAAAATTCCGTGCAACAAACTGCTCTATGGCCAGGTACATGTATGATACACAAGTAACAATCCCTTCACAAAATATTCTGCTATGTTAGTAATATTACTTACGTTTTTGCAAACATTAATGCAATATTAGGCTGCTTAGAATCCTTCTTAATCTTGCTTTTCTTTGACGATTGTGGCGATGTATCATCAACATCTGAGGTATCGCTAGTTTTACCTCTTGCAGGAGATTTCTTTTTCTTTAATTGCGGACCTTTAGGACGACCCTTGTTCCTTTTCATGGATTGACCATTTGCTTTACCATCTGGTTGGTCAGTTTCCATATCAGACTGACTTGTTTCATCTGCAGTCAGCTGACTACTGGCTTCATCAGGCTGGCTAGTTTCTTTGCTGGACATGTCTGATTGGCTGGTGCATTCTGGTGTTTCAAAACTGATGTCTCCATCTGGCTGATCAGTTGATTGGTCAGTTTGAGACTGACATCCACTGTCACTCTCTGATTGACTAGACTCACTTAAGCCATTCTTGGTAGACACTGCAGGAAGATCTGTCAAGTATTGTGAAAGCAGCGACAACACTTTCTTGCAGTATCCTTTCTGGAATTGTGAAACAAAAAAACATTGAACATGCATCAAAATGGTGAGATAAGAATCATAAATTTAATCTATGACAAATAACATTTTAATGATTTTTTGGAAACACTCAAGAAAATCTGCATTTCTAGTAATATTTGGGAGGCAGGTAGGGTTTGTATCCTTTTTATAAAGGGTTATTTATATCAGAATCCTCCATTTATATGTAATACACAATTATAATTACAAAAGAATTACCACAAATTGCAGTTAGCCGTAATAATTTGATTTCCTTAGTCGTGATAGGAAGGAAGTAAATGAACAAAGTAATTTTGGGTACTAAAAAAACTACTATCAACACAACAAACCTATTCCCTTCATTTTTATAAATATTTGTTCAATTACATTTCAAAATGAAACAAGAGATTTTCTATTGTCCCAAGGAAGTTTTTTAAATGAAGTGAATGTGCAATGCCCTCATTGGAATCAACTGCCTTCAAAATTTTAAAATGAAATGAATGGGTTTGTTGGTTTTTATAGTAAAACACGACTAAGTTTCGATAAAAAATATGGGTAGATAGGGTCATTGAACAATGCTTTTTTGCATTTATATGAATGTTTTTGGTTATATAGGAAACAAATCAATTTTGATGAACAGGTTATTTTTTGTCACCTGACAGTGCTGGCTGGAAATTAACAGCCATTACACTTTGACAGAAACAACGTAATCCAAATTTACGATCAATTTAATTTTGCTCATTTTGAGTTTTTAATTAGTAATCCCCTCCCAGTGTTTTCCAGCAGCAGAAAAATCTGTTGCACACTTCGCTAAAAAAGCATCTTTGAATGCACAATTTATTTTAATCGACTATGCACCTCTACTGCTTGTCTTTGATGAAGGACTTGTGAAACAAAGGAAGATAAACGAGAGAAAAGAAAAATGTAACGACATGATATACGAGGCAAAGGGTGAAATGATATGGAAATTATCACAAGTTATATGCTTGTTATAACAGTACTGAGAAGTTTACCTCTGTTAAACATTCATCTTTCAAATCTTCCTTCAATGTTGTCAGACTGCAATTAAAAACAATTATAATCACAGCAATCACATTCTTTATATGAAAATAACACTAGACTGAAATCAACCAATTTTATTCCATTATCATATCTGAAATACTACCTTTTCTGCAATGTTTCTGGAAGGAACTCTAACAGCAGCTCTGATTTCTGTTCAGCAAAATTCTGAAAATAAATTCACAAAATTATAAACACTGACTAAACTAAATTTTCGACCATGTGTTCCAACTTTATGTTAATTAATATTATCACAGCTACCATTGCACATAACAAATTCTTGTTCACTGGCTCTAACATTATTCAAAATAAAACAATGTTTGAATTACTGCATTTTCTGAAACTTCACTCATAAGCCTTATTTCAGTTGATTACTTTCAAAATGTTGTAAAAGCGGGTCTTGCCATTACTGCTATAGTGTGAAAATGTGTTGGTTGACTGAACTGGTGCCAGGGTAGTAGAATGTCCAAAAAAAAAATTTAAGACCATACAAACATGCAGGAAACCCACAATTGGATGTCCCTTCAGGGATTTTAAAAAAAGGATGTAAATTTATTGGGAATTCTGAAGAAACAAAAACTAGCTTTTCTTTCACTGTGTGATAAAGTAATGCATGTGGGAACATATCTGTTTCAATTTTTCTGTGTTCCATGCAGTAAATGGTCTAAGAAGACAATAATATTGTACCCATATTTTTGGATAAAACTCAATCTTTTATTTTACGCAAATTAGTCTTTATTTTTGTAAGTACATTGTTCATTTACTTCCTTAGATGAAGATGACAAAAATATGACTTCAGAAAAGTCTACCCAACTGTATACCCCAATCCAGTAATTACAGAGAATTTTTTAAACAAGGGAACATGTGCGCAACACCCTCATGCCATGGCCATGCACCCTCTTACCCTGGGGAGCAGATCATCTGGCAACGATAAAATTCTGATTGACCAGGGATCACAAATTGGCACAGTTTTCAACTGTGACCTGTCTGATACTAATTTTGGCCCCAAAGAAGCCATAGAATGCTCTATTTTAACTTCATCTCCCCCAATTGGTGGTGCTGTTGAATTGCAGTGCCCCCTCCAGCAGTTTTTTTCTAGGAAAAACCCTGTATTAGTTCTTAGAATAAAAAAAAACTGAAATTTAATTGGTAGAATGTGGTGATTCCGCCCCCATCAATTAAATTAAAAATTGAATATAAACACAAGTTAGCGCTGTATTGAAGAGTGATTATATCACTGTAGTGGTAATACATTGTCATGAAAGCTGTTAAAACTTATTCATTACTTTTTACCAATTGCTAATTGAAATGAAATCATCAACAGAGCAACAGATCAATTTCAATAATAACAAGACATGAAATGTCACAGTCCCCGTTATTTGATTATAAAGTAGTACAAGGAACATCTGCAAACAGGTGAATGAATATGTACTCTATGTGGGTACAACTCATCATAAAGTGATTTCCCATAATCTAGTTTTGTACTGACAACTAAAAACTTCCACTGACCCATGTTCAGAATCTCAGAGTACACAAGTGCAACAAAACTATTTGTCATACATGTATACTTGCTCAAGAAACTGCATTCATAAATCTGAGTGAACCTTGATGTACATGACTTCTTTGTTAATCAGGTCTTAGTATATTACCAGGACCTGGGTTTGTTTCAACATCACCACTGGGCATCAGAATCATTCTCATGTTGTCAAATACAATTTTTTATTAATACAGTAAGGTTTATTATTTAAAATGTATTCATTGTACATAGAACAACATCTGTTAATTTAAACAATTGTAAAAGCTATGTTTTCAGAGCAAGTACATGTAATAATTAAGGAAGCCAGTAAAGGTTGGTCTGCTCATAACCTTCAATGGAGAAGTAACAATAATTGTTTGAAGTCTTTTTAGTGCAGTGATATTATTGCATTTCATCATTATTAATGGGTATAAAATACTGTAAACCATTTAATTTTCACTTCTAGATATATTCAGATTCTATGAAATTTCAATAAGTCCCTGACACTCCATGTTGTAGAACCCAGAAAAATGCCTGCAAATGAGCAGTTCACAGCACACTGTAAAAAAAAAAAGTT